ATTTTTTTATTTGAAACAGGGAAATGGTAAATTGCCCAGGCTGCCTGCAAACCTGAGATCTTTCTGCCTTAGCCTCTTGAAGAGCTGGGATTAAGGTGTATGCCACCATTTCTGGCCCCATTTTATAATTAAGAATATTAAGGTTTAAGGTTGCATAGGCAATAAGGGGTACATCCAAACTTAAGTTGATTTGTCTCTAATCCATGCTACGAACCACTATTTTGCCATGTATGCATGTTTTATTTTCTCAAAATAACAGTAGAGTGTCTGGCATGTAGTAGATTCTCAATCAAAGGTTTTTGTTATTGAAAAGTACAGAATAAGATAACATATAAAGGCCCTTTTAAGTTCCAAAACTGCAGAAATGCTCATGTTATTTCCTTTCACCCTGACTCTGTTGGTTTTCTAATCTACTAATCTTATCCTCATCACCAATAAACATATATTTATCTACTTAGACCCAGTTGAAATATAATTACTTCTTTAACTCCCCAGATAGAATCAGTAATTCCTTCTTTTATGTGCTTATGGACCCTGTACCTACTTCTCCAACTGTACAAATTATATTATTTCTTTGCATACATGTTTCTCAGTCATCTTACCAAACTTAAAATTTGAGTATTTCAAGAAGTGCAAATATATTTTGTTTATCTTTATATCAACTGAGTGTAGTAGAGTGCCTATGATAAGGAAAATGTGAAATTAATGTTTTCTAAATAAATGCAAAATCAGTCTTAGACCTGGATAAGAAAGGAGTACCTGCCTTGGAGCACGTAGTTTTGACAGTCCTGCTTTGGCCTTCCTCTGGCCACACTACTTTACATAGGCCACAGAGACTTATCAGGTAGGGGGAAAAGCTTACCTGAAGCCTATGCCTGCTCTTCTAGACTCTGCTCCAGGTACTGAGGCCCCTGGAGTTCTGTATTTCAACTTTCCATTCTCAAGGCCTAGATAGTCCTGTTCCTCACATAGGTCTTCCTGAGAGCAGACTGCATCTCTGATGTGAATACCTAGGTTCGGTGGAATATTAAGGGATGAATATTTGCAGGACATGTGCTCAGAACTTGGATATGTGGGCTGGGCTTAACATACATGTATTTAAGATTCTTTAAGGTATGAAATAAAGCAATGAGCAGAAAGAAAAATGGGAAGGGCTTGAGGCTGTCTCTTCTTATACTATCATGTTCCTGCATGTAATTCAGAGGCCTTCAATAATTATAAATTAAAACCTGATCTTCCAGGTCATAATTAAATCATATTTGTCAAAGTAGGAAAACATAATTCATTTAACAGTTTATGGCTCAGTTTATGACCTTTAAATACTTAGATGTAATTATGTAAGTTTGCAGTTTGTCTCTAGCCCAGCCCTACAAATGTTAAGAGGAAAGATTGAATGATCATGTAAATAAAGTATAAATAAATGAAAATAAAAGTGAAAGTACTTAAAAATAATTTAATAAACATTTCCTTTGCCATGTTGCAACATTAAGGGCAGTACTACTTCTTCTTTTTTTAAAAAAAGAATTCTTCTAAATACAGACTACTTCTATTACACAAATATTCATCCACTAAGATGAAGAAAAACTTATTAATACTGGAAAAGAAAAAGGTTACTAAATAAAAGGTTAATTTCCTTTCATTGAGTGAAAATAGCATTAAAAAAAATTAGGAAACTTTTAGATCCAACGTCTACCTATCAGGCTATTTGAATCCATTCTAACACTTCACAAGAAACTGAATAGCAATTTCTATTAAAGATTATTATATTATTGTCTTATATTTTAAAGCACTTCACAACCTTCGGAGTATTTTCACATACTGGCAACTGCTTAGTCTCTTACGCATAATAGGTAAATGACATCTGACCACATCAATCTTCACATTCAACCCATGAGATTTTATTATAATGTTGTTTTGGGAGAGGAAGTACTGGGGATTGTGAACCTAGGGGCACTTTACCACTACTCTGCAGCCCTTTAGGTCTTATTTAGTAGCTTAGGGCCTCACCATGTTGCTAAGACTGGCCTCAAACTTGCAATCCTCTCTGCCTCAGCCTCTAGAATCAATGGTATTATAGACAGTGTCACTATGCCCAGCTTTATTATAACTTTTTATGCATTGTTTCAAAGTCAAGTTGTCCTATGAAGGCAACTGGGGTTGAGTTCCGAGACGAATTCAGCAAAAAATCTGTATAATACAAAACAGCTGGCTAGGGATGTAGCTCAGTGATAAAGCATAATCAACATGATTAGCATGTGTGAGCCTTTGAGTTTAATCCCCAGCATCAAAACAAAACAAAAATGAAACCAGGGAAAAGAATTTATTCACCTTAATAAAAAACATCTACAAAAAATTCACAGCTAACATCACACTTAGTGGGGAAAAACTATTCATTTTCCTGCTAAGATCATAAACAACACAGGATGCCTCCCCTCATCATTCCTTTTCAACACTGTGCTGAAGACTCAGATAATACAATCGGACAAGAAAAGGATATAGAAGGTATTCAGATTTGGAAGGAAGAAATAAAACTGTCTTTGTTTACAGACGACATGGCCACTTAGAAATTGCAAAAGAATGACTTAAAAAACACAATTAACAATAAGAAGGCTAGGGATATACATCAGTTGGTAGAGTGCTTGCCTTGCATGCACAAAGCCCTGGGGTTCAATCCCTAGCACCACAAAAAATGAAACAAAACAAAAAATCCCACAATAACAGCATGATTAACATACAAAAAGAGGAGGTGAAATTCAGAATTTAAAATAATATATCATTTATATTAGTACCCAAAAAAGTAAAAAACTTAGGTATGAATCTATAAAATATGTACCAGTTCTATATGAACAATCCTATAAAACTGATGAAAGAAATCACAAGCAAAGAAAACAAATGGAGAGATAGCTCCTGATCCCTGATAGGAAGGCTAAAAATTAGTAAGATGTCAGTTCTTCCCAACTTGATCTGATGATTTGTACAATTCCAATAAAAATCCCAGCAATTTGTGGAACAGTCAAACTGATTCTCAAGTTGATCTCCAGTGGCAAATGATCCAACATAATATTAAAGGAGAAGAACAAAGAGGACTGAAAGTACCTGAATTAAAGACTTACTACACAGTCACAGTAATCAAGACATTTGGAATTGCAAAAGAATGGTCAAACAGATGAACAGAACAGAAAAGATTTATAAAATAAAAACATGTAAACATAGTCAACTTATCTTTGAAATGGTACTGGAACCAACCAGACATAGATATGCAAACAAACAAAATTATAGACACAGACCTTACACTTCTCACAAAAATTAACCCAAAAGGAATAGACAAATGTAATATGCAAAACTATAAAACTTCTAGAATTAATATATGAGGAAAATCTAGGTGATTTGCGTTATGGCAATGATTTTTTAAAGATAACACTTAAGGCACAATCCATGAAAAAGAATTATAAGATGGACTTCATTAAATTAAAAACCTCTGTTCTGCAAAAGATATTGTCAAGCGAATGAAAAGGCATGCCACAGACTGAGAGAAAATATTTTCAAAATATCTGTCTGATAAAGAACTATTATTCAAAATATATAAAGAACTTAAGACTCAAAAATAAGAACACGAATAACCCAATTTAAAAACAGGCAAGAGGGAGTTGTGGATAGTAGGGCACTGACTAGGATGTACAAAGCTCTGGGTTCAATCTCCAGTACCACATAATAAATACACACATAATAAATACATATATACAACAAAAATAAGCAAAAGACCTTACATGTATCACCACAGATATGCAGATAGCAAATAAGCCTATGAAAAGATGCTCTATGTCATAGATCCTGAGGCAGGTGAAAATTAAAACAATAATGAGATACCACTATTCTTACACCTATTAGAACAGTCAAATGCTAATGATACCAAATGCTGGCAAGGATGTGAGCAATAGGAACTCTCTTTCATTGTTGGTGGGAATGCAAAAATGGGCCACATTGGAAGATAGTTGGGCAGTTTCTTACAAGCTAAAACACATTCTCTCCATAAACATACTCTTTCCATATGATCTAGCAATCATACCCCCTGGAATTTGCCCAGATGAGCTGAAAACATGTCTTCAGAAAAACCTGCACATAGATGTTTATAGTCGCTTTATTCTTAACTGACAATCTTGGGAGCAACCAAGATATTCTTTAGTGGGTGAATGGATAACTGAACTATGACACATCCAGACAATGGGACATTATTTAGTGCTAAAAAGAAATGAGCTAGCAAGCCATAAAAAGGCATGGAAGAATCTTAAATACATATTACCAAGTAGAAAAACCAATCCGAAAATGTTTGGATATACTATATGATTCCATTATAACATTCTGAAATAACATTTTGGAAAAGGCAAAACCACAGAGACAGTAGAGAGATAAGTTGTTGCAAGGATATAAGAGAAAGACAGGGAGAAACATGCATAGCACAGAGGAAACTACTCTGTATAATGTATATGAACATAATCATTATATATTCATCAAATATAAATCCAAGAGTGAATCCTAATGCTAATATGGACTTTAGGTAATAATAATAATGTGTTGATAAAGGTTCATCAATTGTAACAAACTGTACTAGTGCAGAAAGATGTGCATGTGTGGAAAAAGAAGGTATATGGGAACTCTATTTCTGTTCAATTTTGCTATGAGCTAAAATTGCTCTAAAAAAATAAATCTATCAAAAACTCACAAAAACTGCAAAGCTGTTAACCATCTTCAGTACTCTACCCAGATCAAAAATAGTCGTTTTCCAGTATGAATCAGAAGGCAATATCATTGCCTAATTCTTTCTATTTTTTCCTTTGGGGTATGTTGCTGGGGATTGAATTTAGGACCTTGTATTTGCTAAACACATGCTCCACCACTGAGGTACATCCCTAACCTATACCTGATTATTTCTAAAATAGTCTCCAAAAACATCTTAACAGGTAATTTAAGACTCAGAATGAGGATCAAATCAAAGAACTTACTTTTCAATTTTCTTCTTTTGTTCCTTTTGTCTTTTTTGTTCTTTTACTTGTTCTCTTTCAATATCCATGAAAAGTCTTCTGTGTCTCAGGTACTGCTTTTGACGCTAAAAAGAAGTTGATAGCAACACTAATTTCGTTTGCCACTATTACAATCCCTTGTTAATAGTACTTAATGAAATGATTATATTTAATATAAGCCATATTTATGAAATATTTAATGAAATGATTACATTTAATATATTTAATAGATAGCATATTTACCCTTTATTCCCAAGTACTAAGTACCATAAAAGCAGGGCAACAGAAAGAAAGTAGGAGTTATTTTGTAACAGAACAAGGTTCCTTTAACCTTTCAAAATTAGAATTACATCACAAAAACATACTCTAAGCCCAGCATGACATGGCAGGGAGGGGAATAGAAGGGTTGAAGTACATCAGAGTATCACACTCATAAATTGAACAAGCTTAGTAAAGTAAGTGCTACTATACTGTGTGGATCTGTTCATAGCTCTGAATTTATATATTCTCTTTTAAGGACACAGGCTACTCAAATGGCTAAAGCATATCTATGCATATGGTAGGGCAGTGCACAACTTTTTGGTATGAATTATTAAATGTCTAAATAGGCTGGACGTGATGGAGCATGCCTATAATCCCAGCTACTTGGAAGGCTGAGGCAGGAAGATTAAAATTTTGAGGCTATCCTAAGCAACTTAGCAAGATTGTGTCTTGAAATAAAATAAAATGGACAATAGATGTAGCTCAGAAAGAGACTACTTCTGGGGTCAATCCTCAGTACCAAAGGGAGGAAAAAAAAGAAAAGAAAGAAAAAATAAAGTTTAAATAGCAATTCTCAAATTGAAGATGCATCAGAATCACCAATGGTATTTTTTTTAAAAAGTTTTTTTAGTTGTACATAGATTCAATATCTTTATTTATTTATATTTATGCAGTGCTAAAGATCGAACCCAGTGTCTCATGTGTGTGAGGCAAGCATTCTACTACTGAGCCACAACCCCAGCCCCACCATTGGTATTTTTTTAAACACATTAAAAACAAAACAAACAAAAAAAACCCCTACCTTTTCAGATACTGATTCTGCATACTACATATCTACATTCTGTATATCTACAAATCCAGGTATATGATTTTTTTTGGGGGGGGGAGGGCTACTGGAGATTGAACCTAGGGGTGCTTTACCACTGAGGTACATTCCCAGCCCTTTTTATTTTTTTATTTTTGAAACAGAGTCTCACTAAGCTGCTGAGGCTGACCTTGAACTTGCAATCCTCCCGCTCAGCCTCCCAAGCTTCTGGGGGTCACAGGCATGTGCCACCATGCCCAGCAAGCATAAGGATTTGGAAAAAAGGTCCATATCTCGTTCTGGTACAAGGATAGGGTTAAGAACAATTAGTTTAAAATAACTTTAAGTTGAAAGGGGGGAAAAAAGGAAATCATAAATTTAAAATGTTCATTTAAATAATTTATAGTGGCAAATATATAATAGCTGGAGAAATTTACTTGGATCAGCTCTTTGACTTCACATCAATGCACCCTAAATCCTAGGAACTTGAAAGACAAGCTTGACATACTCAAGCAACTTCTTTGGAATTGTAGTATTAGCTCTATTAAGACACAGAAACTGTTTCTAATTTCATATATAGTATCACTAGAGAAATAATAATGTTCAAAAGCAACATCGGTACATACCTCTTTCTTGTCTTCCTCTTTATCTACTCCAGACTGAAATGCCAATGGAGTTTGGAATTCATTGCTTAGTCCTGACTGATAATCATTATAAACCTGTTAAAGAATCCATTCACACAGTGACAAAATTACTAAAAGCTAGCCATATGAACCCTTTTGATTCTTTTCTCCTCAAACTTCCAGCTATAAAAGAGTAAAAGTAAAAAGGAAGGAAAGACAGAAAATAGTTTCAGATGAATTAACCAACCAACCAAAAAATGAAAAAGAGAAAAATAATAGACAAAAGGCTTCAGATAAAAATCATGAATGAACAAATAACAAATCAAAAGGTTCAGAATAGAAGTTCTTTGAAAGTGGTCATTTGAAATCACACTATCATATTATGCTTGGACTTGAATCCAGGTATAAAGCCAGATCCCTTAGTATATCAAATGTATAAATCACATTCAATCTACATAACTCTTTTGATGAGCATGAATTCAGAATAAGAGTCTGGAAACATATCAATTGATTGGGATGGCATAGAGAACACTGGGCCTAATTTCCCATCATATTTACTAGCCAAACTTTATAAGTTAGTATATTTACTTGGACATTATATGGGCCAAACTGTGATCTCTAACCTTTTAGAAATAATGTTAAAATTTTTATCTCTTTAGTTTAAAAGTTATTTATCTTTCAGCAAGGTTAGAGGGTAGAAGATCAATATGTAAAAATCTATTGAATTTCTATATTTGTGATGAACAATCTGGAAACAAAATTAAGGACACGTTCTTGATGATACCATCAAAAAGACTACAAAACAGATATAAATTTAACAAGGAAATATAAATTTATACTCTGAAACATACAAAACATTGTTGAAAGAAATTAAAAAGACAACCTAAATAAATGGAAAGACATTTCACATTCATAGACTAGAAGACTTAATATTTCTAAGATGGCAGTACTCCCTAAACTGATCAACAAATCTAACATAATTTCCACCAAAATTTCAGCTGCCTTCTTTGCAGAAATTCACAAGGTGATCCTAAAATTTCTATGAAAATGTGAAGGACCCAGAACAGCAGAGACACTCTTGAAAAAGAACAAAACTGGAGGACTCTTCCCAACATCTCATTACAAAGCCACAGTAATCAAGACAGATTTCACTGGCATAAGGATAGACATAGATCAATACAAAGCCACAGTAATCAAGACAGATTTCACTGGCATAAGGATAGACATAGATCAATGGAATAGAACTGACAGTTCAAAAGTAAACAGATATATTTATAATCAACTGATTTTTTACAATATGCCAAGAAAATTCAATGGGAACAACAGTCTTTTAAACAAATGTGTTTCAATAATGATGCTGAAACACCAGTTATTCAAATGCCAAAAAATAAAGTTGAACCACTTCCTTATACCACATACAAAAATTAACTTGAAGAATCATAGCCCTAAATGTAACACCTAAACAATTCTTAGAAAAACAAAGAGAAGTACATATTCAAGACCCCAGGTTAAGTTATGGTTTCTTAGATATGAAACCAAAAGCATAAGCTGCCAAAGTAAATAACTTAGGCCTAAAAAAGACTTGTGCTATAAAGAAACCATTTTAAAAAGTGAAAAACACAATCTACAAAGTGATGGAATTTATTACAAAACTTGAATCTAAAAAGGAAACATATTAAGAACTCTCACTGGGCACAGTGGCACACGCCTATAATCCCAGCAGCTCAGGAGGCTGAGGGAGGAAGATCACGAGTTCAAAGCCAGCCTCAGCAATGGTGAGATGCTAAGCAAGTCAGTGAGGCCCTGTCTCTAAATAAAATATAAAATAGGGTTGGGGATGTGGCTCAGTGGTCTAGTGCCCCAGAGTTCAATCTCCAATACCAAAAATAAAATAAAATAACTCTCATGAGTGTAGAATAAAAGAAAGAGATGGAGGGGCAGGAAAGGGGAGGTACTGGGAAATGAAACCAACCAAATTATGCATGTATAAATATATCACAATGAATCCCACTTTTATGTATAATTATAATATGCCAATTAAAAAATAAGCAGGAAAGAGATGAGTAAAGGAAGAGGAATTGAGGGAGGGAAGTGGGAAGGAAAGGGAAGGTACTGAGGATAGAAATGGAGAAAAATAGCCCCGCTATTATGTATAGTTATAATGCATTAATAAAACATTTTTTTTAAACTCTCATATCTCAATGATCAGAACTCAAATAACCCAATTACAAAAATGGATATAGTATCTAATAGCAGTACTCCAAAAATATACAAATGGTCAATAAGTACATGAAAAGGTGTTCAATGCCATTAGCCATCAGGAAGATGTAAACTGAAAGGACAGTGAGACAGCACTTCACAACCATATGAATGAAAAATAATTTAAAATGAAGACATAGGGGGCTGGGGTTGTGGCTCAGTGGTAGAGTGCTCACCTAATATGTGCAAGGCACTGGGTTTGATCCTCAGTACCACATAAAAATAAAATAAATAAAGGTACTGTGTCTAACAACTTTCTCTCTATATATATAAATTTGTTTTTAAATGAAGATATGGGAACTGGAGGTATAAATCAGTGGTAGAGTGTTTGCCTGGCAGCAAGACTTCCTGAGTTCAGTTCTCTGCAACCAGACACAAAAAAATAAACAAGTGCTGGTGAGGATGCAAAAAAATGTAAACCTTCATTCACTGCTAATGGAAACAAAAAATGTTGCAGCCACTTTGGAAATAAATTTGCTAGTTCTTCAAAAGGTTAATAAACACAGAATTATCATTTGCCCCAGCAATTCTACTATTAAGTATATACTCAAGAAAAATGAAACATAAGTCCATAGAAAAACAGGTATGCAAAGGGTTCACAGCAACATTATTTATAAGAAAGAGAAACAAGCCAAATGTAATCAATGAATAAGTAAAATGTGCTATATAAACAAAATGGAATTATTCAGCAATTAATAGGAATAAAGTCTTGCTATATGCTATAACATCAATGAATTTTGAAAATATTATGTTAAGTGAAAGAAGTCAGTCACAAAAGACCAAATATTACATGTTCTCATTTAAATGTAATGACCAGATTCAAGAAATTTATGGAAAAAGAATAGCTTAGTAGTTGTGAGGGCTAGAGGTGGGGCTAAGGGAAAAGCGTAATAGCTGATACTGGGAATTGGACTCTGGAGATGATAAAAACTCAAGTTACACATCTGTAGTTCCAGCAACTCAGGAGAATGAGGCAGGAGGACTGCAAGTTGGAAACCAGCCTCAGCAACTTATTAGGACCCTCTCTCAAAATAAAAAAAAAAAAATTTAAAAACCTGGGGATATAGCTCAGGGGTAAAGCACTCCTAGTTCAATCCCCACTATCAAAAAATAAAATAAAATAAAATAAAATGTTCCCAAATTGATTGTGGAGATATTTACATAACCCTGTGGATATACTAAAAACACTGAATTGTATGCTTTAAATAGGTCAGTTGTATGGTTTATGAATTGCAGTTAATCATCATTTTTTGCATACTTGCTAACTTTTCCTATTCATTAAAATTTATATGTAATACCAGTACTCAGAATGCTAGGCAAACCTTTGCAGACATGAATAGCCATGAAAATCTGAGTAATCCAACAAGTATATTGACAACTGAAGTCCAATAGGAGATGTTCTGCCTTTTTCTGTTTTCATATTGTAAAAAAAATGTGTCTTTTCTTGTTTGTTTTTGCTAGGGATCAAACCGGGGGCTTTGCCCATGCTAGGTAAGCACTCTACCACTGAGCTACATGCCCAGGACACAAGTATCCTTTTTTACATTCTACTTAGTGCCATGTTTTTTGTATTTTTTGCTTTTTATGGGTGATTCCACTGTTTTAAGAAGGTCCCAGAAATAGTGCTGACATACTAATATTACTAAGCACAAAAGGCTGTGATGTGGTTTAAATTCACAGCACCCAACAAAGGCTGTGATGTGCTTACAGACAAACTGTGTGTTAGATAAGCTGCATTCAGGCATGAGTAATAGTGCTACTAGCTGAGATCAAACTTAATGGATCAACGGTATGTATTAAGTAATGTGTCTTTAAACAGAAATATCTATAAAACAAAGTTATGTATATTAATCATTTGACAAAATGGTTAGGGGTTGATAAAAATGTGCCTATAAAAGCCCTAAAGATTTCACAAAAGAACTGTTAGAAGTAGTACACAAGTTCAGCAAAGTTGCAGGATTACAAAATCACCATAAAAATCAGTTATATTGGTGTTAGGGATCTAGCTCAGTGTAAAGTGAGACCCAGTACCACAAAAATTTTAAAAATTAGTTGTTTCTATACAGTAACAATGAAGGGTCCAAAAGGAAATTTAAGAAGATAAGAACATTTATACTAAAGAGAAAAAAAAATTTAGGAAATTAATCTCTGGGACATTCTGATATTAGGAGGTTGAGCAGAGAAGGAGGAGCTCAAGAGAAACAGAATAGACTCCAGAGTAAGGTAGAAGAGGACCAGGAAGAGAAGGAGTCAAGAAGCCAAGGTAAGGACCCAAGCATCTACATTATCTATAATTTCTCCTGGTATTAATTATGTACACTTGTCCATTTAGAGTTCTCTCTACTGGACTGTTCTCATCATTCATTCATTCATTCAGCTAATATTTTTTTCAATCCCCACCAACAGACCAAGTAAGGTAAGATGTTCGAGGGCTGGGAACACAGAAATAATGATCATTTAACTCTGTGCCATACGGTCAGTATTCAATAATTCAATCCTCACAATAGCCCTTCATATTTACAGTGTTGTTACAAGCACTCAGTAGATGAAATAAGGGCATGGGAGGTTAAATAATTTATACAAAGAAAGGAATGGAGCCTGGATTTGGACCTGGCCCTGAGTCTCAGACCATAAACATTTTGCTATAAACAAAACAAAAGCTTTGCCCTTTTGTTAGCCCATTCCTGAGTCCTCCAAGCAGAAGTCAGTTCTCTAAAGAAAAAAAAAAAAATAACAGCAAATCTCTACTCAGGGGTCTAAGGCAGGAGGAGCACTAGTTTGAGGCCAGCCTCTGCAAGATATTAGCAAGACCCTGTCTCAAAAACTGAAAAGGGCTA